CCCACACACACACACTCTTTTAAACTTCTTTTTAAACCAAGAGCTAAGGTGTCCATCTCGTGCAAAATATTCTTGCAGGTTGCTGCAGTGTGGCAGTGCTTTTCCAGTGGCATCACGCTCAGGTACCACTCTCCTATGGGTGCCATGACAAAGGACAGCAACACAGAGGTGCAGGGATTCAGTTTGGCTCTGATAACCCTACAGATCTGCAGAGCGGTGAGCTCAATGCGTGGCCACACCGAGCAAAACTCTCCTTGGCTGCAGAGTCCCTCTTCAAGCCCTGCTTCTGCTGGGTTGCCTATCATGAATCAATTTGTCTTGCATATAAATTGTATATAAATGGCCCATTGTTATTCTCCTTCCCGTGACCTCTTTCCACCAGTGAGTCCCTGGAGCGGGAGCTCCTTGGAGCATGGAGCATCCTCGTGTCGTGCTCAGAGCATGCTGTGCCCATCGCGGGCTTTGCTGCAAATAAATAAGTAATCACCCTAAATGGCCTTCCTTTGCAAAGCACCAAGCTCTGTGCACCGGGGTGTTCAGCAGTCCTGGGGAGCAAATAAATAAATTAATCACACCTCGGTGCCTCGGTGGGAGTGCTGCCGTTCCTCTCCTCCTGCTCTGATTGCAAAATAACTAACCATATTACAATCCATCTGTAGCCTCATGAATCACATTGGCTACAAAAGCAGGAATCTATCAGGGACATCCTTACTGCAAGACAGCCCTTTCTCCCAGGAAGAGAAAGATGGGCGAAATAACAAAATAGATGTGAGCGCTTTGGCAGTGAGCACAGGCTAAGGAAGGAAAGCGGATGGGCTTGCACAAAACGGTGATTGAGTGATTTATATGTAGCCTAAATCTCCTCCTCCCCCTCCTCGAGCCCACCCTACTTATAATGCTAATATAATAGCCATAATTCTCCTGCAGTTTGCATTGCGGTGCTATCGGCACAAATGCCTTCTGCTGCAATGCTAAAACCCTTTGGCCTGTAGCCTCAGCATTAATTGATGCTACAGAAGCAATTCATTGTCCTCAGTGCCCTCCCTGGGATCATCAATTAAATATCTCCCCACCTTGGCGAGACCTATGATCATAATAACAGGACTCAGCAGTATCAGGATACAGCAAGAGCAAGCCGGCTGCTGCTGCAGTTCTGCTTCCCACCCCACATACCTGAGGATCCGGTCAGAGTTGGAGCTGGGCTTTGAAGGATCACCAGACTGGGTTTGTTGCTTTTCATGTGATTTGGCTAATTTTTCAGCAGCAGCAATGGGGCACCCAGATAAACTGTGAGTTAAAAGAAAAAGAGAGAAAAAAGTAGAGTATGAGGGATGTACGTGGAAATCTTCACTTGTTCCAGAATCTTAGAGCTACACTGAACCCATGAGAAAAACGTTTGCCTTTAAGGTTTTCCTTGTTAGTATTATCCTAACTTACCATCAGTCTTGGCCAGCAGCAAAGCAGCCAAACATCAAGTGCCCAACCTGTCCCCTCCTGACCCCATCTAAGCTGAAATCCCACAGCAGCAGCACCTAAACTCCCACATCACCTGCACTGCAGACTAATGGCAACCTAAATATTGTGGAAATCCCCAGAAAGCCTTCAAACTGCCACAGCACCAAACACAAACATCACTGGGCACGGGTACCCTCTGCTCCACATCTCCTCCTTGAGCCCCCACCTGCACCCACAGCATTACTTTGCCCCACTGCCCAATCATAGAATCATTAAGGTCGGAAAGGCCACTAAGATCATCTAGCCCAACCATCAATTCATCACCACCATATCACTAAACCATGTCACTCAATGCAACATCTACTCTCGTTTTGAACACCCACAGGGACAACAACTCCACCACTTCCCTGGGCAGCCTGTGTCAATGCCTGGCTATTTTTTCTAAGAACAATTTTTTTCCTGACATCCAACCTGAAATCACTGCTCCATCCTGCTGTCCTGCATTATTCTTTGCCTTATCACAGAACCATTAAAGTTGGACAAGACCGTTACGGCCATCTAGTCCATTAGGATCATCCCTTCTTCACTCACTCTGCTTACAGCACCTCCAAAAGTGAGAGCTGTAAAGTAGGAATAAACCTGGTGACCCTGGGGCTGTGCCCTGCTGGCTCGACCACTATGCAGCAATGGAAGGTGGTACCTCCTGTGCGTGTTGCGGTTGCTGTTGACGTGACCCTGTCCTGTGCAGCCTGGCGTGGGGCATTTCAACACGTTCTCGTGCATCGCCAAGACTTCGGAGCAAGCAAGGCAAGGGAAGAAGGAGTGGGAGGCAAAAAACAATAAAAATCAGAGAGAAGAAAAAAAAAAAAAAAACCACAAAAACCAACCCAAGTCATCAAGTCTTGGCTTCCTAGAAATCAGAAAACGTGAAACCCCGCAACTAGAATCTGTCTGCGTGGAGAGAAGTAGATTTACAAGGCAACATTGCTCAGGTCAGTGCTAGATTAGCATCTGGGCACACAGCTGGGGCTGCCTCCCTGTTTGCTGATTGCAGTGCAGTTCCCCCAGCCAGCCCCCACTGCCCGCTGCTGTTCTGGAGCTAAGTCTCCCAGTTTCAGGTAGTTTTAAAGTGATTGAAGCTGCATCTCCGCTTTTATCCTGAGGACTAGCCTCTGTTTGATTTTTGAACGTTTTAATCTTCAGGATTATTGCTTCCTGCAGTGCTGACCTTAAAAGTAAAGAAAATAATTTGATTTGCAAGCCCTTCTGAAGCACGCGCCTTGTGTTGTTTATTTATTAATATTTTTTCTTGCATACTAGCCTGTGTGAAGATAGCTGCTCTTCCTCCTTGTTTCCTGCAGCTCTCTGTTTATGGCAGGTCTGCAACATTTGAAACTACTGATAAAGAAGGGCGCTTTTTTTTTTTCTTTCTATTTTTTGGCCTATTATACCATTATCATAAACATAAAACATTTATTTTTATGTCTATGCGCAAGGAAAACTATTTAGGATGCTGGTAGAGAGGTTGAAATAAACTCTCCCTACGTATCTGCATATAAAAATCTGTTATGTTGATGATTAAGATTTTCTGCAGAAGAGAAGAATCTCAGTACGGTGCTTTGTGAATTTTACAGCAATGAGAGCAGAGGAAACTCAGCTGTGCTCCACATCCTGAGCACTTTCTCTCCTTTACCGTATGGCAACACCACCATGCTTGGATGCCAGGAAAGAGTGCTTTCTCCTTCTCCTCATTGTAAAAACCCAAATAGAGAAAAACACAAGAAATTCAGTGTAAAGATGGGAACTGTTAGCACACCTCTGGAGGTGGGCAGCAGTCGATTTTAAAGCACCTTTGATTTTCAGAGAAGGGACCTCACTCTCCACAGGATGGTGCTAAAATCTTTAAGAAGGGTCTGACTTTCCTATAATCACCATAGCATTTCCCGTTAAGATTACTACCACTTTGATGGGGAAAAGCATACCAGAACGGTTTGAAAAGGCACTATGCCATGCCAGAGATTCAGTTACACCCCAAGAATTAATGTCAGACCTCTGCTGGGGTCTCGGCCACAACATTTACACCATTTGGGACTACTTGGAGCGCCTTTTGCCCTACAGTTGGCTCTACCCACCAGATGTGAAATTCTCCCCTGAGAAATAAGGTTCCAGTCTAATTCCAGCAAACTGTTATCCACTGGGCACCCAACCATGTACTTACTCTCAGGGGGGATCCTGTCTTTGTGCGGACAGCCAGAAAGGCTGCGGTGGTGAGGGTAGAGCCCTGTGACATGGCCAGTCCCATCACAGCCAGGCGTTGGACATTTGATTTCTCGCTTCTCAGGTCTTGAGGGATCTAAGGGTTTTAGAGAAAGCATGGTGGTAAGCAAGTTAGCAGTTTTGGAAGGGAAAAGGTGAGAAGGTTGGGAATGTTTATTTGAAAAATGGTCCTGGATGCTTCCCACCACTCTTCCAGTGTATGAGGGAGATACCTTTGGGTTTGGAGACTTTTTTTTGAAAGTGCAACTGTAACACTTGGACAAATTGGAAAAGCAATTTGAGCAACTACTCAGCTGGGATATGGAGTCACTCACCCTACCGAGCCTGTACTCAGCTGCACATCAAGCACATGCCAACCCCTCGCTGGCTGTGGCTGGACTCCTGCCCTTGCTCCATCTGGGTTTTATACCGACCCTATGGTTCAGACTAAGATTTTCAAGGCCAATAGGCAATTTAACCTCATGATTCCCCTGCTGAGACTCAGAGTCCTCCATCATTTTGCACATTCACTGTTGCCCTCTATCTATGTCCTAATTTCTCTGGGCACAGAGAATTTGTGTGTTGTGAACTCTTCCAGCAGCCTACTTATCCTGAAGGTCAGGTGAGCAGGTCTGTCCCTGGCAATAGGAAGAAGAACAGTCATGGAGACTCATCCCCATACCCCACCTTTGCCATAGTAGCTCTTTCGGATGCTGTCCAATGGTTTGCTCTGCTTCTCATCGACCTGGAAGTGCTTTACGTGCTCTCCTGGCAGCCGGCTGGGCTCCCTCACGATTTTCACCTGCTCAGCCTTCAGCGCAATGGCTTGTTCCAGAAGCCCCAGGTTCCCCCTCGTCATCATGTCATACATTTCTGACTCGTCGGTCACCGCTGACTTCTGGGAGTGGGCATCATCATCTTTGTCATCATCCGACCGGACCTCCACGATGACAGAGTACTCGGGCTTAGGGCTGAACTGCCCTTCACAGTGACTTTTCTGCGTGTCCTGAGAAGCATGAGGAGCTTCTTCACAGATCACTTCGGGAGCCATTTCTTCCTCCTCTTCCTCTTCTTCCTCCTCCTCCTCCTCCTCTTCTTCTTCTTCTTCCTCTTCCTCATCTTCATCTTCTTCCTCATCTTCATCCTCCTCATCCTCTTCCTCTGCTTCAGCTTGCATGGCCTTCTGCAGCTTGCAGGACTCTTCACAGTTCATGTCGTCCTGGTGCTCCGGACACAACTCACTGCTACGTTCACTAGTGACCTCGATGACTTCCTCTGCATCCTCAGTCTGGATGATAATCTCCTTGTCACACTCCTCCACGATCTCCTCTCCTGCATCCTCATGAACCAGGTGCACAACGTTGGATGGAGGCTTGGACACCTGCAGCTCAGCTTCAGGCAGCTGCCCTTCAATGGCGAGGGTTTCCTCTGCTATTTGGCCTAGGTTTAGGAGAGAGTTGGCGATTATTTCTTGGTAGTTGCTATAGTTGGCCTTGCTGGGCCCAGACGTACTTGTTGCTGGTTTTTGTCCATAATGGGCTGATTTTGCTGGGCTTCTCTCTGAGAAGGTTGAGGGAAGAAGACAAAGAAAGAAGGGAGGGAAAAAAGAAGGGAAGAAAGGAAAGAGGAAAGGAAAAAAAGCAAAAGCAAAAAAAAAAAAAAAAAAGTAATGATATACACTTATAAACATCTCTTTGTCTTTTTTAAGCTTAATTGAAACTAGAGCCTTGCTGTTATACACCTGGTGCAGTCTAATTTATTGAACTGGGGAATGGCAGATAAAAAGCAGATTTCCTCATGAGAGCTTTTGTGGTGCTCAGATATGAGCTGTTTCCCAGAACCCAACCATCATCAGCTGCCTGTCTTTCATTCTCAGTGCTCCCCAAACAGGGGATCTGCATTGTGGGGTGATGCCATGCCAGGACCCTGGCAGACATCTGGTTGTTTGCTTGTTGCTCCTGCCTCTGGAGAGCGGATGGATGTACAGCTCCTGCTCCAGGGAGCCCAGCTAAGCCCACTGGCACCAAAGGAGGACTGTAGCTGCCATCCCCATCATGCAGAGAGCTCCTTTGAGCTTTCCAGGAGTCATTCCCCAGGGAGCATTCCTGATAGAAGAGCTCTCACTTCGAAGACTCCAAGACAATCTGTGCGTAAGCCATCACAGCTTAACCAGAGCTCCGCTGCTTTGCTTCCACCAAACATAATAACTGCAGGACCCATCATCGTACATGATTCAGAGGAGCTATAACTCTTGGTTATTAACACTCACTGCCCTTTATTCATCTACAGAACACAGCTCTGCAATCAATAATGACAAAGCACCTTCTGCCGGCTCGGGGCTGTGGGTCTCCTCCTGCTCCACCACCTCCGCCTCATCCTCCTCCAGCGTTCCCTCTGACTCCTCGGAGCCAGACTCCTCCTTCACCTCGGCCTCCTCGCTGCCGTCACTGTCGACGTTGTAGCCTTCATCCAAGGCCAGCTTGAGCGGGTGGGATTTGCGCTTCGACACCAGGTGCTCGGCCTCCGCATCTTGAAGTTTCCTCTTCTTTGCTAGAGGGCAGCTCTGCAGACTGCCGGCGGGATTAAGGAGCAGAGAGGGGGCATTGCCCCGGTGAGAAAGGCATGTCTAGGGCATCTCAACCAGACAGGCAAAGGCAAGGAGGGTAAATACCGGAATATTAAAAAATATATAGGTTTTTTAAACTATTTTTAATCTTTTGTAGCCAGAAAGTCTGCTATCAAGCATTGATTTCGTGCAACACTGTGCATACTAGCTTTGCAGAAGGCAGTGCAAACTTGCCAGATTCACACCACCAGCCTGGCCTGTGGACAGCTGTTGTCCAGGGAGCAGGAGGACCAACAGCACAGCACCACTGCTGGTAACAGCCTCCAGTGTCACCACAGAACCTGGCAGAGGACACAGAACCAGCCCCTGAGTCAGGTGCTGCTGCCTTGGTTTGGGGTCTGCATGAAGGCTGCTGATAGCCTGGCGAAGGAGATGCCCCAACACCCACCCAGACTGATGAACCAACAGCAAGCACCATCCAGACCAGGATACACGTGTCTTTGGCTTGCTTGCTGGCATTTTTCTACCCCCCATTTCCCCTGACCCAGCCTTACCTTCTGTGTCTTGCATACTTTCCACGGATGTGTCCTGAGCCGTTACAGCCTGGGGTTGGACAGCTTGAGAAGGAAGCAAGAAAACATCAAGAACAGCAAAAGGGCTGGGAGAATTCACTTTCAATCAGAAGTGTATAAACTGGTCAGTTAAACAGGTTCTGTGCACGAGAAACAAAATAGCCACAAAAGGGGAGATAATTTCCCTCAAACGCTGCAGCTTGTCCCTTTGAAATCCAAGTGAAGAGGGCAGGAGAACAGCTTTGCAGTTTGCTAAAAATTAATGAAATGACTCACCCCATTTAATTAGATGAATGGTTCATTATAGTTTTATGAGTATGTTTAATTAAGGATTTGCATGTGTAAGAGCAAGCTTTTAAAAAGCAGACAACTACTGCTCTCTGCTTCCCCACCTGCACCCCGTGGCCTTTTGCACCAAATGCGGTGCTCTCACTTGGTGAAGAATGGGGGTCCTGGCACAAAGACATCGGGGTCCTCTGGAGAAGTAAAGGCTGAAATAGGTTGAGGATGCTCAGCTTTTAGCCACGTTGCCACCAGGAGGCATTGCCCCAGAGCATCCACAGCCTCACTTCTGAGGGAACGGATGGGATGGAGGTGTCCAGATCTCCCAAATCACTGCACTTGTTCCTACTGCTCAGCAGAATAGGACTTGTTAAAGACTTCCCTGGCTCTCTGGGCTAGTATCCCTCGGCACGGGGCCACATGCTTGCCCTGCAGAGGTAATTAATCCCAGCTCCAGAAGCAAGAAGGGCCTCAGATAAGAAGCATTAAAGCAAATATTTTCTGGCAAAACCAGATTACGGCATTGATTATAGGATGCCCAAGTGACTTGCCTGATGTCTGAGGGATTCTGGAGACGTGTAGGATTAATAACCTCATTTAGCACCGTATCACCCTTGGCTCAGGAAGCTGGAAGCACTAATGAAATCTCTTGTGACAGCACAAGGGGAGAAGGCACTGCCAGCCCAGAGGGATCCGGCCAGCCTGTTAGGTTAGGAGTAAAAGACACGGGATGACACTAAATAGCATGAGGTCAGGCTTTGGGGATGCAGAATCTCTGCTCTCAGCAAAACCCAGCCCTTACAAAAAGCTTGGCATCAGGTGGATGGGAGCTCACTGATGAAGCAGTAGTGCTCCATGCACCGGCAGGTTGGGTTGTTAATGGGTTGGCCCTACACAACACCACGCACAGCCCAAATAGTTGCATTTGAAGACAATTTACCCCAAAACCGGGACATGCACGACTGGCAGCTTCCCTTTCTGCAGATGATCTCCAAGTCTATTTCATTTTAATTGCCCTCAGGCCCAACTGAGGCTGCTCTGTGCCCCAGACATACGTTGAAGTGAGCGCAGGCAGAGGACAGAGCAGTGTTTATGGCACCAGAGATGTGCCCAAAAAAGGCTCCATTCAGCAGGAAACAAGGACGGCTCTGATGAAGATGTTACTGGCTCTTAGAAGCTTTCCTGAATCAATTAAAGCTGATTTCCCCCACCTCATTTTTAATGTGGTGAAATGAAGCCTGTAGTAAATAATAAAAAAGAACAAGTCGGGCGGCTCAGATCGGGGTTTTCCGTAGCAGGTGGCAATTTGGGATGTCTCCAGTGTGTTCATTTAATCCCTTAAAAAGTTGCAGCACAGAGGTGATGCTCTGGGCTGGGGCTTCCCCATCCCCACACCTCTGTCCCCTGTGGGGTTTCGTGCATCTTGGCAGGAATCCCAAAACCAGAAAGGGGCTTCGGAGGTCTATTGAAGCCACTCTCCTTCCCTGCCACAGCCACTGCCCGACCTGCTCTCCCCCTCCTGAAGCCTTCATGTGCTTGACAAAGGGGCCGCTTATTGTTATGCAGACCATGCCCTGCTTCCAATTAGTCGATTAATCGTCCAGTTAATCAGGCAATTAGGTGACAGCTGCAGAGATGGCTTTGTGGAGCACTCTGTCCTGCCCCTTATATATGTCACCTGCTCCAATTACCACCTCCGCTCAAGTGTTCAGCAATAAAAGTTGGAGAAGTGGTGTGCCCGCCGCTTGCTCCCTAGCTCTCCAGAGTCATCGGGGAGTGGAGGAGCAGAAATGCTCTGAAATTGGGTTGGTTAAGGTCCAATTACTCTTTGACACGCGCAGCTTTCTAACGGAGCTGCTAGGCAAGGCAGCCCCTGCTATTAGTGCCTGCTCAGGTTAAAGACTCCTATCTCTCACAGAGCCCCTGCGCAAGGTTTAAAGGCAGCAGAGGGGCTGGGGAGGCTGTTATTTATAATGAGAAGCTCTGTAGGCCACAAAGACTCCAGTTTTTTTGGCTGGTGCTGTATGCACGCCAGCGCTGCTAAGTGAGTGACAATGGGACCTCAGTGGCTCAAAAAGGGACACAGGGCCAAAGGAGGAGCATCTGGCCTGAGAAGTGATGTTGCATAGAGTTGTTTGGGAGCAAAATACACAAAAAGATTCTGCTCTATCCCTAAGATCCTGTAACACTAAGCATGGACATCAGGCCTTGCTGGGGTAGATGGAGGTTCTTCAGTCTAATGCAACACACCCAGAGCTTGTGTTTAGAATCATAGTATCACTCAGGTTGGAAAAGACCTTAAAGATCATGGAGTCCAACCACAACCTAACCATACTACCCTAACTCTAACAACCCTTTTCATCTCTTTAGCCCCTGTGGTTCCTCCAGCATGTGTTGACCAAGCGATGCCCCAAAGATTTGGGCTGCAGCGACTTGCCCACCCATACAAGCCATGCAGCAAGACCTCCACCCATCAGCCCCACAGGTTCGTTCCCCACACCAGGTCCCAGCCTGGTCAGCAGCAGTGGGAGCCCAGCACAGGGTTCTCCATCCCTCCCACCAGCACCAAGGAGGAGGAGCAGTGTTCTTACCTCACCTCCTGGCTGATGAGCTCCGTGGGCACTGGGTGTAGGGCAGGAGACAGCAAGGGAAACAAAGACACGGTCACAAACCTGCATGGTACCCGAGTCCCTGCAGGGCACCTCCCTTGGCAGGGGATGCTCTCCTAGATCTACTGCCTCTGTAGGCCTCTCATTTGGGAAAGAAAAGACAAATCTCTGCCATCATTTCTTGCATGCCAGCCTGCTGGAAATCATAAACTTGCCTTGGAAATGCTCATGCCTGCTTTTAAGCACATGAACATGTGTTTGGAGCATCAGGGGTTACCTCTCTCTTTAAATGACAACTTTAAAGTCAGTAGTGCTGTACTGATTTACATGCACAGGACTCAAATACCTGCAAGCAAGGACTGTTTTCTCACAGCTTGTTTGCCTGTAGAATAGGTTCCTTACTTTTTGCACAGTTCACTGCTAATTTCCTGTGGTGACCACTTTTACTTCTGTCACATCACCAGGAACATTTTTCTCCCTTATCACACAGACATGGCTTGTAGGGCAGACAATATCTTACAGGGGTGTTGGGGATTATCCCTCGTTGTCAATAGGAGGACATCCCACTGCTTACAACAACAACATACAACATCACATTGTTGCTGTAAGCTTCCCATCCAGCCAAGAATCCAAACAATCAGGAGGGGAAAAAAAAAACTCACAACATGAGCTAAATTTGCCCAGGCTGAAAAACTATCACACACTTGCTCAATTTGTTTGAGCTAATTGGGTTTCCTGGGATCCAGCTCCCAGTGGGATGACTCACAAGCTTCAACAAACTGGAGGCATGGGCAAGTCCCACGGTGCATTCAGTAAATTACCTTTTCACATCTAGAAACCCAGATCTGGGTTGGAGTGCGGTGATGGCAGGTTGTGAGAAAATAAATAAAATCAGGCCACTCTGATCAGCAAACTGAGCAAGGGCTTTTATGGAGGTGCAACAAAACAATGAGACCCACATAATCCATCCTGATTCAGCACAAGTGGGTTTTGCTTTAATTTTTAAAAGATGCTGAAGGATGCAGGGAGAAATATGGGCCAGGATAAAGTGGTCCAGCGCAGCCACACAGGTGAAGCTGCAGCAGCCTCCCCGTCCATATAGGTCAGCCCCATTCATCCTTCCCCTCTGACCACCTTTGCAATTAATCAAATCCACATCTATAAAAAGGAATAAAAGCTGCAAGGGTGCTGTGCAGCCACCGTGTGAGGCTGTGGGGCCACCCAGGCAATGCGCCACGCTCTGCATCACAGCACCTCACCTCCTCCCCGAGAGAAAGCACAGGATGAGAGAGCTGCACATATTTTAACGCTGGAAAATAACAAGCAATCAAGCTTTGCATTAACAAGTTCTCTGTCCTCACGTCCCTGCCGGCAGACAGCCCTGTTTGCTTCTGCAGCATGCACTACTTCTGCCAGGCACGCTCAGATGTGCAACTTCAAAGCTGCTGGCAGAGTGTGCATGATGAAAGCCCTGGGAGCTGATCTAAAGCTACAGCGATTGCCATCCCATAAAGCAACGCATGCAAAGGGGTTTTTGCTTTTTGCCTTTTTTTTCTTTTTTTCTTTTTTTTTTCCCCCCCTTAGGTGCAGGAGATGATGGAAACAGGGAAGGAGGGTTAAATATTACGAGGAGCCATACACGTTTGTGGCTAAGAGTTTTTCAAGGCTTGTAGACAAAGCTCATCAGAAGCTGAGGGAGGCATAGGTGGTGATTTAAAGAGACCCACCCAGCATGGATCTGGCAAAGCAAAGCCCTTTGGGGACAAGCAAAGTGCAGGGAGCTCGGGGATAGCCAGCTGCTTACCTCTGACGGACTTCGATCGCGTGCGTGCTCTCTTATCATCATTTTCTAAACTCATCTGGAATGGAAAGAGAAGGTAATCGTGTAAAGATAACATGAAAATTATCACCAGAAGCAATTATCGCGCGTGGTTGTAGCTCTGCGTAAATAGCTGAAACAGCCCTTTCTTGCGTTGCTTGTAGTGTTGAAGCCAAAGTTATTCATTTTAAAGGTGCAAGGAACGAATTGAACTCCCAATATTAGCAACTTGATGCTAATTTCCACGTCCTAGGACACAGGAAGGACTCTCTGCTGGTAAGGAGCACACAGTTGGAGCAGCCCCATCAAAGACAGCCATGGGGTCCAAGAGCCTCTTGCTAAGATCAAACAGATTTCTCAGGATTCACACCAAAACAAGTGACCCGAAACCTCCGTGAGCAGCCAGCAAATTTCAACATTCAGACTTCCCTGAATTTTTGGTGGAGCTGATCCTGTGCCTGGGTAGGGTGACCCTTCATGTAACGCGCTAAAGAGCAACCTCTCCTCTGTGCTCAGATTTGACACGGAGGGTGCATCAAAATAACCCCTGCACAACGTGGACATCAAACAGGAGGGTCTGCAGGGAACACGGGCATGAATAAGTAACACTGCGGACTTCAAAGCACTTGCTATTAATTAAACATCACAGCGTGCCACGAGGAAGGCTGAAATGCAGCCAGCGCTGGGCTGCAGCATGGTCCCCATGCCATGGTGTGGGTGGGAGAGCTGAAATTAGTCACAACCAGAGCTGGCAGTAAAGGGTGTCCAGGCAAGGGGACACGATGTGGCCAGGATAGCAGAAATAGGATGCATTTCACTTGTGAAGTTGCCAAAGGGATTAGGGAGCTGATTTAATGCATCACTCCTATCCTACCCAGGGGGATTGTGGCTGCTTGGAAGAAGGTTGCCCAAATCTCATCGTGCAGCCATCCAGCAGGGATAGTGCCCTGAGCAGCCTTACCTGCTGGGTAGCACCCAACCCACAGCTGGGAGGTTAGAACTAGATGATCTTTAACGTCCCTTCCAACCCAGCCATTCTATGATTTTATGTTCTACAACAAAGGTCTCACAATCACAACATCTGAGTCAAACACCAATGGGGCAGGCAGAATGGCAACATGAAGGGCAGTGAACGGAAACCTAACAGGTTGGGAAGGAGGTGATTTTGGCTTTAATGCAGAACATGACACTCCGGGACATTTTCTCCTGGGAAAGAGAGAGAGAAAGAGGGAAGAGGACTGCTTCCAAGGCGGATTTGACATAACAATCACAAATGCTCTTCAGCACATGCTCTTTGGAGCATCCTCTACAAGCCCAAGCTGGATCCAACCAGCTCCTATGCCATCTCCAAATGAGGAAGTTTGAAAGCAAACTCAAGTGAAGGAGAGACATGAAAGGAAGGGACACATGGAGAGCATGTGCTGACCCACAAATCTCCCACATGCACCTCAAAACTCTTCCTGGCTGGTTGCTGGGCAAGCAGGGGAAGGTGACAGTAGTCCCAGCCAATGGGACAGCATGGCTGGAAGCCCCTCACTGTAAGCACCCCTCAGCCAGAGCCCTCCAGCAACACGCACCAACACAGTGATTTATGTGATTTATTGGATAGAAGATTGGAGGGAGAAAAAAATCCTAAAGAAAACTAAAAAAGAAAAAAAAAAAAAATCAAAACCTGAAGTAATTTATGCATCCTGTCAGCATTCAGCTCCTGGCACCGTGGTGTAATGCTCCATGTTTATTACAATCTTCCCAATAACACAGCAGCCAATTACCATAATTTCTATTTTTAAAGCCCCAACTCCCCAAAGACCAGTGGCTCATGCTTAAAGTGAGGAGAGGAGCAGGTGTCAAAGGGACTTCATTACATTTATGAGCCTTTCAGAGCCGCCCAGTACTCAGCATCTCGCCAGCGCCATGCACAGACAGTGCTACGTGTGACTGCTGGGAGCTCGTGCTATACCAAAGCGAATTTCAGAGAGGAATGTTTCTTTGGTGGTTGTATTTCCTTTTTTGACAGCATTCCCAGGGATTGGCATGCCTTCAGCTGGTGCCTTGGCAATATGGGTTTCCTGATGATAAATTATTTAGAGTCACTACAGGGCAAGCTGAGGGCAACCGAGACGGTTCACACATCGTCATGAAAAGAGTCCAGAGGAAGGGACCAAAGGGAAAGCATTGAAGCTCAGGTTCTCAGGATCAGGTGCAGGAGGTTGCAGGAAGCCACTGCCCTGTGGTGTTCTCTTTGAGAAGCCCTATGGACAGAGCACTGCGGGGTGAAGCTTCAGGTCATACAGCGTGTGTTTGCAGACTTGGAGACCACTGGGGCAGTTACACGTGTTCTCCCTCTTGCTCACCTAACAGCCAGGTTGAGAAACTCTCTGGATTTCATTATTTTTATCTCTTAATGGAAAGCAAGCAATTAGAAAGGAAATCTGGAAAGAAATGATTGCTACCAGATGCTGGCCCCTGTGTACATGAGTTCAGCTAGGACAAGGCAAGTCTGTACAGCTCCTCACTTTTAGAAGCCTCTGGTAAGTCTCCCAACCCTCTTCCATGGGACCAAGCAGACAACAGACTCCACACGGGATCGGGATGCTCACACTATGGCTCAGCCAAGTCACCCCTCCATCCCTGGTGCCTTTCCTCCTGCCCTATTCTCTCTGAAGGTCCTTTGGTGCATGGGCTGTCTCTCTCTGTGTCCTGCACAGAGGATCTTCCTGGCATAACGCAAGCAATGCTGATGGCATCCCGATGCCGCCTATCAACAGGGCTCAGAGAGAGATACTCAAAAGCCAGTTTAACCCAAGCGCTGTGCGAATTTTAAGAGCTTCCTCACACAGTTGCAGTCCTGCTCTGCTCCCAGGATCACAGCAACGCAGTGCGGGAGCAGCACAGCAGAGCTGACGTATAATTTTTACAGACTATCTACAGAGTTGATATTTTCATCTTCCCTTATCTTAATACACATTTATTTTCAGAAGGAAGACCACAGCAGTAGCATAAAACCTCTGGAGCCTCCTGAGCTCGGCCGCCCAGGTGCACTGCGCTCCGGCAGCTCTATGCAAATACCCCATTAAAGGCCATGCTGAAATTCCCCAAGGTCAGCAGTAATACTTTATATGTATTCAAGAGCAGCACGGAGCTCAGAGAAAATAAACATGCTGAAAAAGCCCTCAGCCGGACAAAGGGAGGTGAGGATTCAGCAGGAATATTTATTTTACTCTGAAAGCAGCAGAGCTGCCATCGGTGCTTATTTGCGGATATTGCAAAATGCCATTTGCAAGAAGCTGTGTCTGAGGGACAGGCAGAGGGAGCTTCTATTTTAGGTTTAAAAAAAAAAAACACCAAAGCTAGATTTTCTCAGCAGCAGGTAGAGCAGGAGGAGGAAAGTGACAGAAGAAATGATGTTTTTCCTACATAAAGGTCGAAAAGTGGTTTTCTACTTGGTCTTCCTCTCTTCCAGTTCCAAAGAGCCCCTTCTCCAGTTCAAGGGAAGCACCCTTTGGGTGCTGACCACCCAACCCAAACGGACCTCTCCTTCATTGCAGGAAAACAGTCCAGCTCTCACAGCCCTATTTTACAGCTGCGTTCAAAGCCAGGGTGAGCTAAGGGAAGGGAGAAGGACAGTGCATGGAAACCTCCACCATCTCCAGCCTTGTCCCAGCAGTCAAGCTCCTTCAGGCTCTCAACAGGGAAGATCAGTTTGCTGATTTGAACTCTCTTCCCAGCCAAGGATTGGCTCACAAGCCCAAACAAACCCAAAGAGTAAAGGGTGTGACACCAAGGTCTGGCTAGATGACTGCACAGAGGACTATGGGGGAAATTTGGGGCACCAAAACTACCCCTCAGCACCCACCCAACAGTAAGGATGGATTTGAATGGCTTGGCCTGATTTCTCTTCCCTTTGCCGTTTAGTTTTCAGAAAGGGCTACTGGAGGCTGCACATTGACGGAGACACTTGGACCTGGGTGACCAAATGTCCCCTCACTCCCTGCAAAGTACCACAGCATCAGCACTCACTGCAGGAAATGCAGAGACCATCCTGCTGCACTTTCTCCAGCTTCTAATCTTTAAAAAAAAAAAAAAAAAGAAGAGAAGAGACAGAGGAAGGAACACTGCTGTCTCAAAAGCCTCCCTCTGCTTTCACAGGGGGCTGAATGTTGCTGAAAGCTTCCACACCAGCCCAGGAGCTTCCAGCTGCTATTTTATAACCGTACTCTGAAGCAGAGTTTTTCCCTGTGCTGCTTGATTTAAATCCTCCTGACGTCCCACCTATTGTAATCCCCATTCTCAGCTGAACAAAATGCTGTCTGCCTGAGAAAGGACACCCTGCTCATTGCTCTCAGCCAGGAGAGGATGTTGCCTTGACATCTTCAAGTGAAAGAAAAACACAGCTTGCACCCCCCTCAAATGAAAAGATCGCGGCCACATTGCAAACATACTCCTGAAGTTGTGCTGTCATTTTTCAGTCACAAAAAGGGCCTGATCCCATACACGTACCAAAAATGAAAAAAAAAAAAAGAAAAAACACCAAAAAACCTCTGCAAATTAAACATTTACAGAGTGCTAATGCTCTGTCGCTGTAGCAGCAGCATCCTTTGCACGAGTGAAGCGGAGCAGAAGAGATGCTTCCGAGCATCACACTTGACACAGCCCCAGCTGCACCATGTGCTGCACAGCGCTGGCATTCAGGCTGATTACATATGCAGCAGTTTAAGCCGACATACACTTTGCTCTTGACTGTTTGAAAGTGCTACGACAGGCAATCCAAACGCCATTTCACGTGCGGAGGGACCTAAGTGGCTCAGGACGTGCAAACTGCTCTTATGCCAAAAGAGGAGGGATAGGGGAGGAAAAAGAAAGGAAAAAAAATTATCACAACTTCTCAATCCCATTGTTTTCAGACACAGGAATAAGTTGTCATTTTCATAAAATTATCCCCCAAAAGGCAGTTGCTAAAGCGAGATGGTGAGCACATCTCCAAAGAGGACTCTGGCAGCCCCTGTCCTAGCACCACCAGCCTTAACTGCACCAGGGAGCTCGTTCAGGAAAATTGGGATTTGGGAGGAAAACACTCATTTCCCTGCCAGCCACTGGGGCCAGGATGAGTGCAAGCATGCCAGGTGCAGTTGGGTACATGCACGGAGCATCCCCCCCAACACCCTTAGAGATCCTATTTCAGACCTGGCAAGAGAAGTGCTATCCTGTGCCTGGAATTCTTGAGAAGCAGAAATAAGTAAATGCACCCCGTATCCCACTGTCCTTGTCCTGCACATCCTGTATACGAGCCATAGCTGGCATGGGAAGCTACAAATAAATATCTATTTATCTGGTGGTCCTACAAAAGCCAACTTGTGCCAAGACCAACACCTGCAGGTGCCTGGTCCCCAGCATTCCCAGATGCTGTTCCCATTTCTGATGCCCACTCCCATTTACACCATGTTGAAGTACAGCTGAGCAGAACACAGGGCTGCAAGAAATGGTTAACATTAGCAACGTGCTTGGCAAAGGCAGTGCACTAGATGAGCACCAGGTACTGGGCACATTACCTTTTGTAATCATCACTTTATTAACATACAACAATCTTATTAAATCTCATCTAAGTGCTTATCTGGCAGGTTCAATAGAAAAGCCTTAATTGAGCCGGTTTTAAATATAGCAACAACTGCTTACGCTGCTTTCTAAGAAGGTGCAAGCATTCCTGGTGACACCTGCACGCAGCTGACAGCTTGTTAGCCATGAAGGATGTGTGCACTTTCTGCTGATTTCTGCTGCTTTGGGATTTTCCCCATGGCTTGGTTTGTTATCCCTCTTCTTCCTACACCCCCAAACATCAGTCACCCAAGGAGGGCATCCTCCACCACCCAGATGGGTCTGTCTGTCCTGAATGCTGCGCCTTGCTACCCAGGAACTAAATGGGGCAGGAAGCGCCATTTGCGTAATGAGCAGCCCCGTTCTGTGCTTAATTAAAGCTTCCTCATCTGCTGGCAGCAGTTCTGTGCGAGGTTTGACAGCACTGCCTGGACCTCTTTCATCAGCCACAGCTGCAGCTGGCAGTGGGCGGTAGGATGAATGCCCCACTTGTCCCTGTGGCTTCACCTGGCCTGCGCGAGGCTTCTTCCAACCAAACTGCAGAAAGAGCTCATTTTTATAGCCCTGGGACCAACCTCAATATCCTGCTCTGAGCTGTCCTTGAAGGATGAGACCAGGGAGGAAGGGAAAATGCAAATATCTGGCCTCGACGCCAAATCTTGACAGCTGGAAGCCCCTCTGTCTGCACAACCCATGCAGGAGATTCAACTCAAACAAGGACTTGCAGATCCTTCCCTTCCCGGGAGTGAAGCTGCATTCCTCCCCCAGCCCAGCTGGTCCAAGAGGGCTGGAGCAGCACTTGGCCCTCATCCTGCTGCCACCGTCCCAAAAAAGGATGCTCATGGGGCTCACCTTGATGCACGTGCCGTGCAGGCTGGTGGCTCCCTCGCAGCTGCTGATCTTCTCTCCACAGGTCCACCTCTGGTTCAGCAGCTCACCCCGAAACTCATTTTCTGGGGAGGGGAAGAAGAATATGGAGTCAGGAGGATGGAAAAACGAGGGTACCCAAGTTACAGCTCCCAGAGGCACAGCAGGGAAACACTATGGGAAGCACATACTTTACAAACAGACTCTTGGCACCTTCTCTTCTTCCTCAAACACACCCAAAGGGTAGGTGCCAGTCCTGCAGCACACAGGTGGCCCCACAGCTGTGAGGCTTCCCTTCTGCTTGCAGTAACAAGATGGAAAGCATTTGCCCCAGGTCTGTAAGACCCCAGCATCACAGCTCACCTGGGGAAACAAGGGTCACTTTGGGTGCCACCAGCCCCAGCCTTTCCCTTCAATCTGTAATTGCAGCTCCCCGTGGCATTGAGCAGTGAATAATGTGCTGCCTGCTCTCCAAGCCCCGCTCCATTCATCTTCTGCCGGCAAAGCAAAGGAGAAGAGTGCATCCCCAGCAGTAGCTGCACTTTGCAGGCTGCAGAAGAGCTCAGGGCTCTGTGTCTGCTGCCTCAACAGGCTCCCATGCTTCCCCGATGTTTCTATTATTTGGGTGATCTCAAAGCAAAAGCAGGGAGAAGGCCAACATGCACTGAAAGAAATCTGAAAAATGTTTCCAGCAATGGATAAGTATCACGGATAAGTTGCTGTGTTTAAGACATCCCCTGAGCAGCTTCATAGAGTCACAGAATGGTTTGGGTTGGAAGGGACCTTAAAGATCATCCAGCTCCATCCCTCTGCCATGGACAGGGCTGCCAACCACAAGATCAGGCTGCCCAGGCTCCCTTCCAACCTGGCCTTGGGCACCTCCGGGGATGGGGCATCTACATCTTCGGAGCTGCCCTTCCACCAGGAAGTTTGTAGGAGAACACACAACAAACACTGAGGAAAACACCCAACCCCACCTGGGTCTGTTCTCTATCTACAGGACACTGAGGAACAACCATATCTCACAGTGCTTTTTAGGATGAGCACGCTAAAGGACTGGGATTACTCAATCCCACAGTGACATCCAGCCCAAGGTAGTGCCTGAGAGAGATGACGGTGAAAGTCACCGTTCTGCATTAATTGTAAAACCCTTCTAAAGCCAGAAGAGAAGTTGAGAGGACTTTTCTAGGTTTCGTGGGAAAAACACCTGGGTTGGAAACCCTCCTCCAAACCCTGTCTGAAGCACTGGGCCTCCACAAAGGGCACAGGGCTTGGAAGCAAAACACAAGAGCTGCTGAAAGATTGTTCTGCTTTGGAGAAGCTCTGAGGGAAGGAAGCAGGGAGGCACAGATGGCCAGGCAGAAGATGACAAATGAAGGAAGACATGGAAAGAAGCAAGAAAAGGACAGAGGGAAGGAGAACAGAGGATGAAAAAAAAAAAAAAAGTATATTTCAGTAAGAAAAAGAGAGGTTTCTATAACACATACATGGAACATTACAGCCTGTCTGCTTATCTGAAGGGAGACATTTCCGTAAGCTGTAGGCTAAGAATGAGCCAGACTGATGGCACGCTGGCTCCCAGCCTGCTCAGCATCCTCCAGCCCCACTCCCGTCCCTCATCCCAGCCCGGCTCAGGTGGCTGCGGCAGCTCCATCACACACGAATCAGATTTCCCCTGCTCTGTGCTGCTTACATGCATCTGGTCTCCAGAGGGGATCAGCTTGCATGCACTGTGCCCTTTCCCCTCGCCTCCGGACGTGGATTCAGCAGAAACACAGCTCACTTACATGAAGGATGCTTCTGTTAACCCCTGCCTGGACCACCCAGAGGGAGATGCAGGACATCACCTTCAGAACTCTATTTTGCTCGTGGGAAGCAGATCCCTGAGGGATCCACGCATTCTGCGGTCCCCTCCTGGGAGGTGGGACAGCCAATGTTCCCAGCAAGGAACACTTGCATCCAGTTCCCCTTGACAAACAGCCCTTGGTGCTCTGCTGTCTGACAGATGCCTGTCTGATGTTCACATCCAGCCTTCCCCTGCTCTCTCCATCCTCTGTCCAGGACAGGCTGTCTTACTGGTTCCCTCATTAAAAAGCTCATTTTCCCAAAAACATTTACAACGGCCCACTCCAAGACATCACCACATCCTCTTCTGAAACAGGTTCTTTTTCAATCCCTGAGCCCGTTTGTCCCCTCCTCTCCTTCAGCGACAGCCACTGGGGAAGGTCAGTTGTGAACCAAAGCATCGTGAGTTGGGCAAAATCTCTAAAACCTTTGGGTCAGTGCCATCAACTCCAAATGAGAGCTGGATACTTTGAAGGGAGAACACATGCAGTTCAGCACTGATCAGAGTTGAGTGCATTTCACTTTCCAAGGAGAGTAAGAGTTGATGCGCCACAAAAATAACAAAGCCCCACAAAGAACAGCAGAAATCCCCCTCAAAAATAAACCCACGTGAAACTCAAGAGTGCAGAAGAGGAGCAGAAGATGGGGCTGTGGGAGGAGGCTGCTGGGTGGCCCCATCCCCAGCATTGTGGGCAGCATACCTGGCCCCAAGTCTGTGCCAAGGGTACGGCTGCTGCAGCAGAGCAATGGGGTGAGAGACTGGGTACTGGGGAACAGATGGGGAAAGGGCTTCACTGCCTCGTATCTGCATCACTGCATATTTAAACTGAAAGGCCAGAAGAAAAACATATCAGTCTTCGTTTGCTCCCCCAAGTGCAAGAAAAGAGAAATGAAGAGAGTAGGAATTTTTCTTCATCTTCATTCAAGCGTATTTTTCCTGAGAAAAGTGAACCCTGAGTTGACAAGGCAGCAGCACACTGCATCTTTCAGTGGGGGTGCTCAGCACCCTGCCAGCTGACGTGGGCTCGCAGCTCAGGGCCAACACAACAGCAGTCCCTTTTGAACCCCTTCTTTCACATGAATTAAGGAAAAAAAAAAAAAAAAAACTACCAAAAACCAAGCCTCAAATCCAAATTTTTCATCATCTCTGTGAAAGTCACCAGTGGGTGCCCCTCCCATCCCCAGCACCCTGCACTGCTTGCAGCGCATCACGCCTACCCATCGCGCTCTGCACACGGAGCTGTACTGAAGTTGCAGTTTACACGTGCTGCTGCTGAAGGGAATGCGTGGTCTCAGCCAGATGCTGAGAAATATTGGCTCTCTCACCAGGTTTACAAAGAAATAAGGGAGTTTTCTATTTAATCACAGGGCACTTGAAAGTCTCTGCAGGTTCCTCTGCAGCTGCAGCGAGGAACAGCGATGGCATGGGGTGAAATAACACCCGCATCCCTCTGTGGAGGCAGCCGAACACACACTTCTGCTTTTGCTGCCATTACACACAACGACAGCACGGCATAAAGGCAAGGAGCTCTCAGCAGTGCCAAGCAGCCTGCTGCAGGGCTGCATTTTCATCAGGAAAACCCTTGAGTTCGTAATTGCCCTTCCCAATATTTCTAAGAAGTCTTGAATGCCCTCCCGCAGCACAGAAATACCATCCACCCAATGCAATTGTCACTATTACTGTAGCACAGCTATGTTCAGTGCTTCAAATTTAACCTCCCAAACATGCTTTTAATTTAAGACTTAATACCGGGTGTTAATTGTATACTGCATAGTAAACGACTGATCATTAAAACATATTAATTGAGGTTTAACAGCTGTATAATAGATACTACATCTCACGCTTATCAGCAAATATGATTTAATAATCAATTAGAAGAACGTATGGATGGGAGGTGAAGCAGGGCCAGGCAGATTGCAGGCTGATCTCTTGTTTGCTGGTTGACCTCGAGATGCTTTTCCTTAGCAGGTTGGGAAGAGAGCTTGGCAATTGTCAAACAGATGTTGAGCTTGGGCACTGTCATCTGGGGAGCTCTCCTGGACAAACCCAAAGAGTTCATTACCCATAACGTATGGAGCATTGGACATTTTACAGACTCCTGCTGCTCCCATCCACGGCTCCATCACCACATTGGCCCAACACCTCTCACTCTCACAGCACAACACTCACTGTCCCTTGTCACCATGTCACAGCCACACAGGGCTGGGCAGTGCCTCACTGCACCTTATGCAGAGACCCAATCCCTCACTGAGCACCTGAGGTTGCCATCCCACCCACCACTGGCTTAGCATGCTGTGCTACCAAACTACACCTACAGTGCAAAGAAAGCAAACAAGACTACAGCCTCTCCTCATTAAGAGCAATATTCATGCTCCAGTGTGCACGGTCAGTTCATAAAGCTTTTTGTTCATCTTTTTTTTCCCCCCCCCTACTTTCTTTTTCTCTCAACAGGCAGAAGTACAATGCACAGTGCTGCCAAAGACATAGATGGTGTATTTCACCTTCAATCCTTGCATCCCTCATGTACTCTTCAAAAGAGGAAGAAATGCTGCACACCCCCACTAACACTGCTATTCATGCATTGCTCCTTACACATATTGCTCAAAAAGAATAAAAAGAGTGAGTGTTCTTCAGCATCCCACCTTCCCCAAACTCCTCGGCTTGTTCCTTGACTTGTGCCTTCCTCATAATGGGTGTTGGCATCCCCTCCTCTGCCATGCTCACCCACAACAGGATTGCTCCTTCCAGCGCCTTCCTCTCCTCCTTTTGTGCAGAGGGAGCCCTGCACAGACACACTCATGCACTCGTGCCCAACATATGTGCACACAGGCGTGTAACACATCAAGCAGGCAGAGAGCACCTCAGAGAAGCAAAGCACAGGATGCTGCTTTCTTCTCGCACATTTTCCTTGTTATTTTGTTCTCATTTGGCTTTCCCAGTACTTTCCCTATTCAATAAAAGCCAAATGCAAACCGCGTCCGTTAATCGCCCAAACAGCCGCTCACTGCTGAGAAAATAATATAGATGTAACTTCCAGCATCACACACTTTCTTTTCCATTTATATGCAAATGCCGACCTTTCACCCAAGCTGTCTCAAAGAAGTATTTCCTTAAAAATGCAAATAGCATGTTGCAAGCAGTTACTCTAGCTGAGTCTTTCTCATATTATTATTATTATTTCTTTTAACCTCACCAGTGCTGCAAAAAACAACTGCTAAACTGCACCCCGGTAATAATTAC